AAAGTATATAACTATATATATATATATATATATAGGGATTGGATCCAATGAGTACACATATTTAAAGTGTCAATGTGAGACCCATTTCTAGCCATTAGATTGGTACATTATGTGTTGGCTAAGATTAACTTTTCAATTAAATAATAATTCTTTATTTTTATTACTTATTTCTTTATTTTATTATTTTAATTATTTAAATATCATTTTGACAATTGACCATTGACTTCGGCGTTGACCGTTGACTCCGGAGTTGACCGTTGACTCCGGCGTTGACTGTTGACTTCCGACGTTGACCGTTGACTTCCGGCGTTGACTTTCAACATTGACCGTTGACCCTTAGCATACATTGTGTATGAAGTAAATATGCATCAGTACTATGTACTTAATAGTACTTAGTATGAACTAAATATGCATCATAAATGAATTATATATGTTATCCTTATGAACAAAATATGCACCAGTAATATCAACTATGTATGCACTGTTTATGTACTAAATATGCACATTTTACTAACTAAATATGCATCAGGAATGAACTAAATATTCAACGAAAATATGCAATAAAATATATAATTTATACAATTAAATTAAATATAATAATTAATGATTTTTATTATATAATTAATTTTAATTTTAAATTGATTAATAACACAAATAAATTGTTATGATTGGATCTCAAATAAAATAGGTATGCACTGTTCATGAACTAAATATGCATCATAATTAAATTATATATGTTATCCTTATGAACTAAATATGCACCAGTAATATCAACTATGTATGCACTGTTATGTACTAAATATGCACATTTTACTAACTAAATATGCATCAGGAATGAACTAAATATGTAACGAAAATACGCAATAAAATATACATTTTATATAATTAAATTAAATATAATAATTAATGATTTTTATTATATAATTAATTTTAATTTTAAATTGATTAATAACACAAATAAATTGTTATGATTGGATCTCAAATAAAATAGGTATTCATTGTTCATGAACTAAATATGCATTGCGTAAGAACTAAATATGTATCATGATTTATTATTATATATTTAATTTAAATATAACAAGTATGTATTTCGTATTAACTAAATATGCACCATAAATTACCTAAATATTCATAATAAATTAACTAAATATGCATCATAAATTACCTATATAAAATGTACATTTTTACTGCATATTTTTCGCTGCATATTTAGTTCATTCATGATGCATATTTAGTTCATAACAGATGCATATTTAGTTCATAACAGGTGCATACTTAGTTGTAGTTGATATTATTGGTGCATATTTAGTTCATAAGGACTGCATGTGCAATTCATATCCCATGCATATTTAGTTCATATTGAATGCATGGTACAGGATGCATATTTACTTCATACATATGATGCATATTAGGGGTCAACGGGTCAACGCCGGAAGTCAACAGTCAACGCCGAAAGTCAACGGTCAACGTCGAAAGTCAACGATTTTTCGCCGGAAGTCAACGGTCAACGCCGGAAGTCAACGGTCAACGTCGGAAGTCAACTAATAATTATTTTATTATTTAAATAATATATATTTTAAGGAATGTACTCATTTTAAGGAGTGTACTCATTTTAAGGAGTGTACTTATTTTATTATTTAAATAATATATATTTTAAGGAGTGTACTCATTTTAAGGAGTGTACTCATTTTAAGCATTCTAGTTTAGAAATCTTGAACATTTTAGGCTAAAATGCCACACCCGACACTCATACCCACACCAATGTCGACACAACATGACATGGGTATTCTTCCTAAATAGAAGAGTCCGGGTAACATAGATTATCATTAAAAAAGATGACAAAGCCATGAGGCCTAATTAAGGACATCAAGAGGTCAATTGGTCAAAATCAAATACACCTTTGATTAAGCTACGCATTATTCGTATGTTCCAACGAACTTCTAAGGTATTCTCATTTTAGTCATTTTGAACTTTTGATTATATAATTGCATAAAATAATTATTGCCAAAATAATTATTTTATGAAATCACAGTGTAGCCATATCTAATTTCTGAATATTTTTTTTTTAAATGACATGTATTAATAGACATGTTTTATGTAGTTTTGCACAATTTCAATTTCTTATAACATTATCAATAAATTAATATAATATAGGTAAATTGTATTGCATATAGATTTCATAGTTTTAATTTATAAATATTATTTAATGAGCATTGTTAATATTATAAATATTAATGAATATCTCTTACCCGTGCATTGCACGGGATTTGTACTAGTCTACTTTTGATGGAAGATTAATTTACCATTGGTACGAATAAATTAACGAGGACTTCAAATAATTTTATTATTTAAAAAAATTGAGAACAAATTATCAAACCTTCGCAAACGCCGAGGATCCTGTCGGAGAGTGGGTGGCAAGGCAATTATTGGCGAAGGTCCACTTAATGGGGGTCCTGATCTGCCTCCCTCAAATGGGGTTGGACCTCCTTGGTCCCGCATCATTTGCATGGCAACTTCAGGAGGAGCGGGAACAAAAGGGCCCAGTGGACTGTGGTCATCAGTTGACCAAAACATAATCAGTCAAAATACTAAATGCATAAAAGAATTGACGTACATCTGATTTTGTTGCAATATAACAGGTTTTTTGAGGATCTGCCTAACTCCTCCACCCTAAATGGGTGTTAAAGAAGAAATGGAGCATGAATGGTTCGAAGGTTTCCTTTAAGTATCTGTATTGATTAAACATTGGTAAATTACATCTTTAGCACTGAAAAAATCACACATATATTAAGAAATATGAACATCAACCCATATATACACTTATGTGTGCACGGAGAAACTTTACATTATGAATTCCAATTGGTGCAGATATTAATTGAAACTCAGGATAAAAGGAGAAAAAAACAAGACTTACCCAGCACCAGGAACAGGCATCAGCACTGGGGGAGGTATATCCGAAGGGAAGGCTGCAACTGGTATGCCTTGCCCACCAAACGAATCAAATAAAGGCTCATCCGGATTGTTCCCATCGCTATTGGCAAAATCACCAGACTGAGGATTCTCGGACCTATCAAATCTGTCATTTCCATTGGCACGGCCATCACGTTCTCTTCGATTTCCCCTTTCATCTCTTAATCTATTATCCATGCCAGGCCTACGTCTCTGTGGTTTCTCCTTCTGCATATAGAATCCAATGTCTTCCTATAAACTCAAATCGAAATACTGAAAATAAAATTTTGTGATAAAGAATTTCATATAAGTCATACCAACGAAAGCTGCATGATGGGCGTCCCTCCGGGTGCATTTTCATCACTGCAACATATAACAGTTAAACACACCTTGCAACCGAAAAAAAGCATCACAAACATCTTCTAAAACCACCATTACTTACTTCATGTAGTTCTGAATATATAGCTCCTCACGCAATTTCGACGTGAGCTCCGTCACAAGTTCCGGGTGTTTCAACTTCAGATGCTTGTGAACAAACTCAGAAGCATGGAAAAGCTTTGTACAGCCTTTTGCCCCACACCCATACTTCCACCCATATTTCTCGTCTCTGATTTTACGGACGTATGGGTCCAAAGCTTCAGCAGCAGCTGCATCTATTTTCTCCTTCCCAGTCATAATCTCCAGAGAATCAGAACCCTTCAGCCGCTCCTGCCACTTGGAATCCAATCTCTTTTCCCACTCATTCCCATTAATGGCACCCTCAGAACTCTTGCCTTCCACCCTCACATGGCGTAGGCCTTTGGCCTCATTCGACTCAACCAGTCCATAGTAGTCGACCCTATGAATGCGCCAGAGATAAGTGAGGAGGGTGTCCAGAAGCTCGACACCCTCAAGGCCTTTAATTGTATTCAATCCACGGATGATAATTACAGGACCACTCGAGCTCCCGTGTGACTTATCTCTGCCAGTTCTATCGTTATCAGCTCTCCACAAGACATTATCCTCGATTCCCTTCTCGCTGTCGAGTTTCCGGACAAGAGCCTGAGCTTGTTCAATATCGATTAGGATTCGCCTGGGCTCCGAGCATATCGGGTGGGCTTTTGGGGCAGACAAAATATCAGACTCTTTGGCACCTGCATGACCTGGCCGCTTTCTTTTAGCAGCAGCATCAGGTTCATCATCAGAATTAGGCTCACCAAGCTGTTCAACTTTGTTTGATGGGGAAGGACTGAAACTGGGGCCTCTGTTTGTATACAGGATAAAATAAGGTTATTATTACGATGAGAAAAAATAGAAATGAAAAAACCGGAGTTTTCAGGAATGGATCTTACACATCCAAAGTCCCACTCTGCAAGTCAAGCTGAAAATCCTTTGCTAACTTCCTTGCAAGTTCATTCCTCCTGTAAGGTCCATTAGGAATGTCATTCAACACGATCAATTGTGGAGGGGAACAAAAAGATATTAGGAGGGGATATTTTTCAGGAATTGCTTATTGATAGTAGAAAGGCGGAATAGTTCATGAAAACTTCCACCAACTAAACATGACATGCTTACCGTTCTATAACAGCAACCAGGTTGGCTGGGTGATACTTGTCTTTTAACCTGAACAAATAAACCAGCTCATGTAAGGCAAAGTACATGAGGAGTGAATGTAAGCATAATTTAAACTGAAACAAGTAATAAACAGAAGATGAAGTGTGTACCATTCTTCATCCTTATGAGCATTAAAGTACGCTTTTTTCTGCGTAGATATATACTCTGTCCTGTACTCTTGGTACCTGATAAAGCAAAGCCAGTTAGAAAATAGAAAAATATAAAATTCAACTGGAAACTCACAGAGATTGGGGAAGAAGGGGGGGGGGGGTTGGTTGGGAGGAAAATCAGAGAAAGCAATAAAATGCGTGCACAAAGAAGCAAATCAAGCAAGATTAAAGAGATAACAATGACAATTTTCATATCCAACCTGCGCTCAGCTTCAGCTGGTAAGATATCATCTTCAAGCTCCTGAATAAACTGTTTATAAGACATCATTCCTTCCCTACAAAAAATCAACAACCACATGATAACTCTGACTTGAGATATAACATGCCAGTAATATTAACAGAACCAAAGAGATAAAAGTATACGGTCAATAGATATGCAAGTTCGCATGAAGAAATAAACACAATGAAGAATACAAGATGCTGGGTTCCAACGACACCACATAGTCCAACAATCTCAATGGGGTACAAACAGCAAGGACAAGTCTACAATTATGGAACACAACAAAGTCATGCATCCCTCCCATAATTTCCTTCCATGAACTTGCATGGGGCATTTGACGGTTTCATCACAGGAAGAATATTTTATGAAGTTCAAAAGTGATTAGAAATGACTTGTCAGTTGTCACAAGGGAAATCTGAAGACAATGCCAATATATATATATATATA